AGTTAATAGATTTAAGTACACATGATTAATTAATGTCAATAAATTGTAAGAAAGAAACTTTGTGCAAACTTGATGGTGACTAAAGCAATGTTTACATTAGCCTTTATTCACATTATTTACTACACAGCGTAACCCCCCGCCGAAATTAAGTCTAAGTTTTTAATAGTTGCATCAATGGCTAAAGTTGGACATTATCAGATATTTAGATTAGAAACTAGTTGTCATATTTGTATTAATAAACCAGTAAAGAAAGTCTTAAAGTCGGGCGGGGCCGACTTTATGATACCCTACACCACTTTGGTAATTTAGTAGAGCTCCGCAGTTTTTATGGGAGAATTCAATCATACACGCTTTGATTATAATTATAATTTAAAGTTCAAAGGACTAAATATTTGGGCATTTGTATCTTTTAAATTCGCACTTGTTTTGCATATTTGGTGCAAAATTTTCAAATTAATTCAGATAAAAATATATATGGGAGCTATATCCAAATCGGAACCTATCTCGATAAAATTTGGCAAAGATATTTCTGAGCTGTATTTGATATATTTCTCTGAATATCGTATGCATGCATATTACGGTTGTGGGTAACAAATATAACAAATCGGATAAATATACTTATTTTCAATAAATACATTCAAAAATACATGACAGAAAGACGGACGGACAGACGAATGGGCATGCATAAATCGACTCAGAATGTGATTCTATGCAGATCATTAAAAGTAACTATGGGTCTATCTCCTTTCCTTTTGCCTGTTACAAACAAATACACAAAGACATAATACCCTGACCACCTTGTGGTGTAGGGTATAAATAGTAAAGTAATCGACTGACTGTTTGACTAACTGATTGACTGACTTAACGATTCATCAACCCCCAGACAAAACGGGTGAAGCTAGAATCTTGAAATTTTATGTGAGAATCAGTTTTGGTCCAAAAGGCCGGGTTTTTGGAAATTCGTAATAGAACGGTACGAAAAGTTTAAAAAGGTAATAAATACTGTACCCTTGGTATTTGAGGAAGCAATAGAGCTATAACTCTTAAATTATGAATGAGGGTCACTGATGAAGAATATGATAGATGGACAAAAGGGTTTTGGGAAATTCGCCCTATAAGTGTACGAAAAACACTAAAATGTACTACATTTGATACCATTTCGTATCACGTGAACGGTTGGAAGTAAAAACTTGTAATTTGGAATGGGAATCAAGTTTGAGGAGTCGTCTCGATGTAAGGAGTTATTTTTGGGTGTGTGTACTCATGTACACGAAAAGTACGAAGAGGTACTAAGTTTAGTACAATTTGAATTTTGAGCAACGGGTAGAGCTGGAATCCTGAAATCCTGAAATACAGGCGGAGTGTAGGATTGGGATACGGAGGGAGTTTTCGAAACTTGTACTTATGTGCCCAAAAAGTACTAAATGGTACTAAATGTGGTACATCTTCGATTTGGGTGGACCGAAAGAGCTGAAATTTAGGAATAAGATTGCATTGTAGGTATAATAAATGTAGGAGTTTTGGAAATTCGTGCATATATGTACTAAATGATACTAAATTTGGTACAATTTAAGTTTTGGGACATCCTGAAATTTGGAAATACTATTTCTATTGGACTGTATGATGTTGGTAGTTATGAAAATTTGTATTTAAGTGTACAAATTAGTACTTAATTTGGTATCTTTTGGATTTTGGTGAACCAATAGAGCTGGTATCCTGAAAATTAGAAATAAGATTACCGTCGAGTTATAAGATTGGGATATGTAGGTTGGTTTGGAAATTTGTACTTATATGCAATAAAATGTACTAAATAAAGTACAATTTGTGTTTGGCCAAACTAACAGGGACGGAATCCTAAAATTTGGAATTGGGATTACTGAGGAAGTGTAGAGTTGGGGTATATAGGTGTACTAAATGTTCTAAAATGTTACTTAACTTCTAAAATGGTACCATTTGGTAATACCAAACGGATAACGCTAAAAATTTCAAATTTTGAACTAGAATAAATAATTAAGGTTGGAAAGTAAGTTTGATAAACGATAGTGGTTTTAGAAATTTATACTACGTGGGAGAACTTTACTAAAAGGTAATAAATTCGGAACAGTTTGGTATGGTATGAACAGATGAAGTTGCAGTTTTCAGTTGGTGGTAGGTTCGCAATAAAGAGGTGGTTGTCGAAATGTGTACTATAAGTACTATAAAAAGGACTAAATAGTACTCTATTTGGTACAATTATGAGATATAAAAATTGCAACAAAGTCAATCGCCATAATTTTTACATTTTTTTTCTAAATTTTATCGAATGAAAGTAAAAAATGCGGAAATAGCATTAAATTTTAAAATAAGCTTACATTTGTTCGAATTGGTCACCTATGACACGAATTATGGCCTTCAAAAGGCCAATAAAACCGTCACACGCTGCCCGAATATTACTCTGCGGTATTTTGGCATATTTCCGGCGAAGCGCTTGCTGGAGGTGATCGACCTTTTGGTATTTTTAGTGCCAACCTAGTTTTCCAAAATACTGCCGACACAATAGTCCAAAGGATTGGTATCCGGAGATTTTGGTGGCAATTGTGCGCAGGAAATGAAGCGAGGAACCTCATTTTGTAACCATTCTTGGGTGGCGCGTGCAGAGTGGGATGGTGCTGAGTCCTGTTGGAATGTCCAAGGTCTGCGAACAAAATGTTTGCTTGCCCAAGGCTTTAATACACCCTCCAGAATATTTTTGCCATAATATTCGGCATTTATTCTGATGACACGGTCGATTAATACGAGCGGAGAGCGACCGTAGGCTGTTATGACAGCCCACACCATCACCATGGCCGGCGCTTGAGTTCTGGTGGCCAACCGAAGGTGCACATATTCAGCTAACCTCTTTGGCAAGTAAACACGATAATTTTGTTTGTTTATAAACTGCTGGACAACGAATCTTTTCTCATCGGAGGAAACCTAATTCGGCATTTCGGCTAAGCAAAGCTACTCTTTATCACTTTTGAGTCTATTTTCTTTCTGTTGCAGTGTAAGTTCTTGCACTTTCTGGAATTTCAATGGCTTTACCCCGACCTCATTTTTCAATATTTACGGAATGGAATATTGAGATATGTTCAGCTCACGAGCCATGTTCTGCCACTGCGACACAGCTTTCGATCAAGTCGCGTCTTTACTTTTCGAACCATTTCTGCTGATGTTGCTGTTTTCTTCCGTCCACTATCTTGATGTCGGGCTACGCTACCATTATTACGGTAACGAGCGGTGGTACGAGACACAAAAGATTTATTTACATTTAAAAGCTGGAGTGCTCTAACGATAGCCACTTGTGGTTTTCCAGCCAAATATAAAGAAATCACACTATTACGCTTGAATTCCATTACGAATAACTTCGCTTCTGGAAAATTCTCAAAAAATGCTTTTGAACGCTTGTAAACAATATAATGAGCTGTCATTGGAATAATTTTAACAGTTGTCGGACGAGTGGCTTGGAAATGACAGCAGTCTGAAGTTGGTTGCAGTTTTTTTCATCTCACCCTGTAATGGTACGAAAAGTACTTAGTGGTACTGAAGTGGGTGTGAGAAGAAGGGATAGACCAGAAATTTGATATTGAGGTCTCTGTTGGTATCTGCGGTTGAGATTTGGAGGTGGTTTCCGAAATGTGTACTTTAATTGTACGAAAAGTACTAAATTTGTTGTTAGATGAATTAATAGAGCTGAGATCCTGAAATTTGGTATTTAGATTGCTAATTGTATCTGTGTTTGAGATTTGGCGGTGTTTAGGAAATGCGCCCTATGTTTGTATGAATAGAAATAAATGGAACTAAATTTGGTATAGAGTGAAGGGATAGAGCTGGAATCCCGAAAATTTTATTAAAGGTGATAATTCATAGAACGGGTTTTTGACTAGTTGAAGTAAACGGCTAATGATGTCTCCGTTGGTATCTGGGAATGAGATATGGAGGTGGTATTTAAAAATGTATACAGGGTTGTCCATATTCGCCATAACTTTTGACAGAGATGTGGCAACGCCATAACTTTTGACAGAGATGTCACATCACTTAATGACATACCGCGTTTGAAGCGTCAGTCCAAGCAGATTTTTACCATGAACCAATACACGCCACGCGAGCGCTCTGAAATAGTTGAAATTTACATTCAACAGAAGAAGTCAATTGCGAAAAAAAAATGTGAGAAGTGCGCCTTCTAAGAACACCATTAAGCGTTTATACGAAAAATTTTCGTCTGGTAAGGCTCTTTCTAATCCGAAGAGGCCATATAAAAGTCGACCAAGGCGATCGGCCGAGAATATCGCTGCCGTACGAGCCAGTGTTGAGAGGCCCCCAAGAACATCCCAAAAACGCCATTCTCAGCAGTTGGGCATGGCTCGGTCCTCTTTACAACGGATTATTCGCATTGATTTGCATTTGTTCCCGTACAAAATTCAATTGACGCAAAGAATGTTGCCTGCGGACAAGCCTCGTCGATTGGAATGGGCCCAAAGAGTCATGGGTCCGTCGAATATGGGCAATCCTGTACTATAATTGTACTAAACGTCCCAAATAGTACTAAATTGGATATTTGGTGAAGAGGTAAAGCTGAAATCCCGAAATTTGATAATGAGGTCTCTGTTGGTATATGGGATTAAAGTATGGATGTGGTTTTGAAAATGCGTACCATAATTGTACGAACAGCACTAAAAGCAAATAATTTTGGATCACCGTTAGTGTCTAGAACGGAGCAATGTTGATTGTTTTGGATATGCGTACTAAATGTTATTACATATGGTATTGGACGAGCTGAGCTGATATTGAGGTCTCTGTTGTTTCTAGGGTAAGGGTAAACTATTTGTTGGAGTTTCCATAAATTCAATCTTGTCTCACATCAATAGACAAATGTTACAGTCTGTCAGTCGCTCAGACATCGTTACATATCATAGATGTAAATAGATTGTTATATAAATTAAAAACTATTTTTGTTTAAATAAATGATAATTATTTTACAATAATTTAAAAAAGGTTAACAATAATTTAAACTAAGTTTTTGTTTAGCCTAAAAAAAATTACAAACTACTCAACATTCCTGCCAACTCTTGGCAATTGGTTTGCCATAGCTGTCCAAAGCGCTGTATGGACCATCAAAAGCTCCGTAGGCTTTTAGCGATTTGAAGGTTTCGAATGCATCACCAAAACTAGGATAGCCTCCATCCGTGACTCCAGCGCCAACACGAATAGTTTGCTGTGTTTTTATGCGTTCCGAGCGATGTTCGCGTATCACGTTTATGGTAGCAGGCGGTTGGCTCTCTTCCAATTGTTGTTGTTGTTGCAGTACTTCAAATTGATTAAATGGCGACTGCGGCTGCTGCTGTTGCTGATGAATTACTCTATAAGTATCGGTGACGGTGTTGGAGGTGGAGTGGTGCGGTCCCCGACTCTGGCCATAATCCACACGAATATTGTCATTGGATAGTTTGAAGATTCGTAGCGTTTTGATTGTTGGACCGAATGACGACGGGTGTTGATGAATTACTTTGACCGTGTGAACTGGAACATCGTTAAGTGTTGGTCCGAAATATACTCCAGCCGAACAGGTGATTGTCATCATTAGCAGCACACAACATAACAACAATACAACAGCAATCTGTTAAATAAATTATTAAAACAATAATTTTACAAAAGCTAGACTGGGATGGATGGATAAATGGATGATTGTAATTTGTATTACCTTGTTGATGTGTATCTTCATGTTTGTTGTTGTTGTTTTAACTGGAGGTTTGGATGAGGAGATTGTAGGAAACTCCTACCAGCTGCTGAATTGTTTGTTACTGAACTTATTTTGATGGTATCACTGATGTTTTATATGGCTCACAATTAATTTACAGTACGCTCTGCATAACTGAAATTTGGGAAAATTGAGTTAGTCGAAGAAGTGGATTTAATATTCCCTAAGAGTTATGATTATTGACTATATCTGAGGGATGATTATTTGACCATAGTCTGAGGAAGGTACCAGAGGGTACCTATTGCCAAATCATCTAAACCATAATAAAGGGTATATTAATTATTTATATTATAATAATAATTATTTTTGACTCCATAAAGTATATATTAATAATCGGAGTAAAATTTTGAGGCAATATGCAAAAGTCCGTCTGCAGTGGTCACCCTACGAATCTACCTAAATTACTACGATATGGCTAATAGTCATATTGTTTATGTCTGTAAGTTTTATAGGATTTCAATTGGGATATATCGATCCACGTTTATGTATACCTCCCATTACGGGTACCAACGATATTTGTTGTAATTCGGTATTGAGGGCTCCTATTGAGTACGTCAACTGTGTAAATAGAAATTGGAACTGGTTTACGTTTCGATATACAACGGTAGATATTCGGCTCCTCCCGATTGAAGATATGTTAAACCGCATTATTAAGATTTTTATATTTTTCGGCTTCTCAATGGATGCATATAAAAGGGTTCGATATTCGCTTTTACGATATTATAACCATATCGGCAATTACGATTTTTAGCAATCAAAAAAATCTTAGAACAGGCGAATTTGAATTCAATATAAAGGTATTGCTATATGTCGACTTTGCAAGAAAGTGGAATTATATTATGGAACGACTAATATTCTCGAAATTGCTTCTGAAAATGCAGGTACAGTCATATAACCATTATCAATATAGAAATCCTTAAAGGTCATATGAGGGAAATTCCTAATGAGGATCCATAGTTGCCGTTTTCAATACCAATCCTCTTAGGAATAATATCCAACGGCAGACAGAGGCACATACTTGAACGATATAATGTTACTCAAGAATACATACATTATGGCAGGCCCTGCAAACATTTTCTATAGCCTGGATGACAAAAAATTTCACTTCAAAATGATGGCGGATAAGAAAGTTACAATCGTAATTATTATCCAAAAATATAAGAATGGCTAAAGATACTGTTCCACTTCTGAAATACTACCTGGTGTTTCGGGTTTGTTACCGCTGGAGGGTAACTTCGATGGACGCTGTATTCTCCTCGCATTTGTATATTTATACCCTACACCACATAGTCATAAGCGTTTTTTATCTTTATGTAGTTGTTTGTAACGTGGAGAAGGAAGCGAGATAGACCCATAGTTATTTTGAGGATCTTCATAGAATCACTTTCGGAGTCGATTTATGCATATCCGTACGTCTGCCTGTCCATGTATTTTTGCGAATCATTTGCGCTCTAAAATACATATGTCAAATTTTATCGAGATCGGATCAGATTTGGATATAGTTCCCATATACATCCCATATACATCTTTATCCAATATCATGTTTACTTTGCACCAAATGACTAATATCGGCCCAAATGGACAGTATTTTGGCAATTTTGGCTGAATTCATCCTAGAAACCAGTTCTTTAAATTTGGTGTAAATCGGTTCAGAAAGAGCTATAGCTCCCATATATATGTTTCATCCGATTTGATGTTTAAGTCCCTCACATTCGTAATATGCACTTTACGAGAATGATATTTAGATACCGGACATCAGATACAGCTCGAGAATACCTCTGCCAATTTTTTTTGACATCGGTTCAGAATTTTTTTAGCTTTTTTCACCATATATGTAATATCAGCCAAATTGAATAGCTTTTTTCACATTCAATCCAATTTTCCATTTGATGATTTTAGCTCCCTAATGGAATTGTCTGAAAATCCACACAAGAAGTTCCTTCTAAGTACTTTACCTCCTGGAAGATAATTGTCAATATAGATCCAAGATATCGTGACAGAGGCTCTAGTACCCATTAAAATCTTCAAATACGAAATTTAAAACAATTCCGGCGAATACTGTAGCTAAAATCGTCGAATAAAGGGAGGTACCGTTATATGGGGTCTATACGAAGACGTGGAACTTAATACAAAAATGTTTGTCATAGGCTGTACTACCCATTACGAACCTTAAATACGAAATTTGAGTCAATTCCGGTGAATAATGTCGCTAGAACCATAGAAACACCGAATATAGGGAGATACCGTTATATGAAGGCTATACGAAGACGTGGACATGCACAGACAATTTTCTGTCTTAGGCTGTAGTATCCCCTTGGAACTTTAAATATCAAATTTGAAACAATTCCGGTAAATAATGTCGCTAAAATCATCAAAATACCGAGTATCGGGAATATCGGGCTAAACGAAGACGTAGACCTGCATACGAAATTTGAGGGCATAAACTGTAGTGCCCATTACAAACTTCGAATACGAAATTTGAAACAATTCAAGTGAATAATGTCGCTAAAATTATCAAAATACCGAATATCGGGAGGTACCGTCATATGGCGGATATACGAAGACGTGGACCTGCGTACGAAATTTTTAGACATAAGCTTACTACAACTTATGCCATTACAAACTTCGAATACGAAATTCATGATAGACCCATGAATATTTCGAGGATTTACAAACGGAATTACAAAGCAAATAAACCTTCCATAAAATGGAGGAGGGTATAAAATATACGCAATAAATGATGAATTATTTGAGGTATAGCTTTAAAATTTGGCAAAACACTTTATATTGTGTCTAGGATGGTTGGTATTGTAAATATCAGTCTACGTTTCTATAAAGCAGCCATATAACGGTACCTCCCGATATTCGGTATTTTGATGAAGTCACATGTTTTCACCGAACTGTTCCAAATTAGGTATTGAAAGTTTGAAACGGGTAACTGAACATAGTCTGTAAAGCTATGGTAAAGCGTTTTACTATAGCACCCATACAACGGTACCTTCGGATATTCGGTATTTTGAGAATTGAATCCACATTATCTACCGAGTGTAGTTCGTAATGGGTTCTTGATCCGGTGGTATATATATATATATATATATATATATATATATATATATATATGTATTTTTTCAGTAGCTATGTTAAGTTCGTAAGCCGGTTATGTCGGTCCACGTTTTTGCGTAGCCTTCATATAACGGTACCTTCCTCTATTTATAAATTGACGATTTCTAACGGAATTATTTACAATTCGGTACTTAGAGTAATGGGTTCTACCTGATGATTTAGCCACATTTTCAATTGAATTGAAACTGTCCAACTTGGTAATCACTCTAAATTTTGTTATATTTTTTCAGAGTTTTTTATACACACACACTTAGTTAGGAACCGTTTACAAAGTTTTAAGTAGTCAGAACAATGTGATTTTTGAAAGATTAAAGAAGAAGACATTTATTTGAATTACACTTATCCAGACCCGAGTGTATTGTTCTCTTTTACGCGATTTAATAATAAATTATATTAGAGTGGTTTCTGTTTTGATTTTTGCACCTCCAAATAAATTATTTCGTTGAAAATTTCCGTTCACCTCAATAAGTGTTGATATTTTGAGAATGATTGGTCCGATTGTTTCTTGGTAAATTTGTTTATAAGCTTTCGTACTAAAATTATTTGTTGTTGTTGGTATTTTTGTTTTCTTATACCACCGATACATCCATGACAGATATGGTTTAAATTAATCATCAAATCGGATTTGCATTGTAATCGATCGTTTATATTTTGTTGTGAATTTTGACCTCCTTTCGATTTTATGGCGTTTTGCGAACTGACCTTTTCGGCATGAAGATTCGTGCACGACTGAAGTGTATGGTAAACAGATTCGAGTGCTGCGCAACGGCCTGCCATTACCTCGTGGTTCAATGTTTGTTTTGCTTTTAGCTGTTTGGTGCTGCCGATGAAACGCACTCGAAACTTCTTCAATTTCGGAGCGTATTAGTTGAAAGCAATTAAAACACGCGTTCATAATTTGAAAAATAAAAGTTTACATCTTTGTAAACATAATTTATGATCTTCGAAGAAGAGTTTCTACCGTTGCGTTGCAGCTACTTGAAATGAAATGTTTAGTTTTTTGGCAGCATCTAAACACATAAGTAGTGTCATAATGGTAAGTTGCCACGGGGGATTCCCCGGAATCGTGAGTAAATGAAAATATCAACAAACAATGAAGCAGCACTGGAGATGAATTGTCTGCTGGACGAATCTCCGCAGCAGAAAAAATAATCAAAACAGTAATAAGTTCGACTTTACCTCCTCCTTTAATACCTCCACCATTTGGAACGAATTGGAAGTTTTCAAAAAAAAAAAAAAAAAATAAAATAAAATCCTTTAAATATTCTGTTGAAATCTTAAAAATACAGAATATAGCCGATAAATTGGGGTCTATGCGAAGACATGGACCTGAATAGGCAACTTTTGTCATAAGCAATTACAATATTTAAATATGATTTTTGAAAAAAAAAAAAAAAAAAAAATCCGGTGAATAATGTAGTTTAAATCATCAAAATAACGAATATAGGGAGATATCTGGGCTATACGAAGACCTGGACCTGCATGGACCAAATAACGAAGTTTGAAACAAATCCGGTCATCGATAAAATCATGAAAATACCGAATATTGAGATGTTCCATTATATGGAGGCTATACCAAGACCTGTACCTGCCTAGACAATTTTCTGTAATAAACTGTAGTTCCCATTACGAACTCTAAATACGAAATTTGAAACAACTCCGGTGAATAATGTCGTCAAAATATCGAATATCCGGAGGTACTCTTGTACATGGATCCATACAGACATTTCTCGTTCAGAGCTTGGAAAGAACTTATAGTATGAATTTTTGGACAATTCCATTGGAAAATGTAGCTAAAATCATCAAAATACCGAATATATGGATGTACCTTTGCAGGGTGAGATAAAAAACTGCAACAAAATCAAACGCCAGAATTTTTTTTTTTAAATTTTATTTTAGAATAAGTTTAGATTTGGTATTTTTTATTGCGAACCATGCTTTCCAAAATACTCCAGATATAAGAGTCCAACGGATTGTTATCCGGAGATTTT